TGCGGTCATTTATTTAACAGAATCAAAATTTAACATCAAGACATGTACACATTGATTTGATGATCTGTTTCTGATTAATAAAAACTTGGCACGCTTTACTAACAAGACAACAGAACATTTCTGAAGGCATCAAGATTGATTTACTGGCGAAGAGGTTTACAAGAGGAGAGATTTAGAGGTTTAAAGAGGAGATGGATGGAGGAAGATATATGTTATTGACCAGAATTAGCACGCTTCTTCCAACACCAGCTCAACCCTCCGGTACACTTAGTGCGCGACACTCGTGACGTCTCTTTACCTTTGCAGATGAGGATCAGCTCCGGTATAGATGTCCCTATGCACGCTACCTTTCCAGCGTCTCCGGTCAGGGTGGCTGGGCATCGTCAGAAGTCATGACGATTTACTCCGTTAAACAGAACCAGCTTTCTTCGAAGTTTTAGGGCGTTACATCCGGGTGAGTTCACAGCGAGGCGCTGTGACTCCGCTGGGATGGACGGACCCTCGTCTCACGGTCAAATCCATCAGCTATTGATTAAATCTGAAAGTTCCTTAGGAACTCTCAGGAAGACTCCATAGTCCCAAGAAAGACTCAGAAAAACTCCGGTCAAAGACTGAAGGAGACTGAAGACTCGAGAAGACTCGAGAAGACTGAATAGTTCTAGGAAGTGTTGACTTTTAAAGAGTCCTCACTTCCGGTCACTTGGTACTTCCTGATTGGTTGAAACAACCAACAGGGGCGTGGTTCTAGTGATGTCAGAGGGTTATTAAAAGTCAAGAGAAGATGCAGGAATGTTTAGGAATGATTAGTACAGACAGAGAAATGTTTTGAAGAAGTGAGAGGAAGCAGGTGCCGGTTGCTTCTTATTTACCGTCTGCTAGGTTTAAAAACAAGACACTTCCTTCTAATAACTCATTTTCTGACTGTCTCTGACTTTCGACCGACATCACTACTCCTCATTCAGACAGAAGATCAACATGCATAATTACTTTGTAAATAGACATTTAACTTGATTTCTTATTTCTAATGATGTTTAAAAATCATTAATACTGTTTCACAGTTGATTTAAAATGAGTGGTTCACTTCAACATTTAGAAATGGTATGAACTAAACACACTTTGATTATCAAAAAGAAGAGTGTTCTTTCAACTGATTAATTCAGGATACAATTAAACAGTCTCTTGATGAGCTAATTTGTATTTCTGGATTCAAATCAATGAAATAACAGTTCCTGTCCCATGAAGGTCTTCAGAGACAGGTTGTGGTCGGAGGCCTAGTTCACTACAGGTGCTTGAGCACCCCCAAAAAGAGGCTAAAATTGTCACTGGGTTCAGATGCTGCGTCTGAACTCGACTGTGTAAATAGTCAGCTGAGCAGGCCGCCCTGTTGCCTCCTCGCTTCTGAAGGAAGTTAATTTGCTGGGAAGGTTAGTAGGAGTCACACTCTCAGAGGTCATTCAATAATCGCCCCAGGGCACGAGCCCCCCAGATGCATTCTGGGATGCATTTTTCCGATAAATTGTTTACAGTGCCTGCTTGGTCCCTCAGGGACCCCAGATAAAGTTTGCCAATCAAAGTTTTTCCAAAGCAGCCACCTAACCTCTAACACACCTGCACACACACACACACACACACACACACACACACACACACACAC